TTTGATGAGATCAAAAGACCTATGAAGCATTTTCCTTTTTTTTTTTTTTTTTTTTTGGTATGGGGATCGAACTCGGGACCTTGGGCTTTCGAGGCAGGTGCCACTGAGCTCCATCCCCGGCCCGACACAGCTCTTAATCATAGGGAAAGACCCAGCCTCACAGTACAATCAACATGAAACGGAACTCAGAGACACAAGGCTGAAATAGAAAACAGTCAGGCGTGCCGAGAGAGGCCAAGAGAGGCCGAGAGAGGGTGGGCCAGACCCGGGCAGGCTCTGTGAGAGCAGCCGGCCAGCGACCATCAACGTGCCACCTCCAGGGCCCATTTATAGGCGCATTGGCATCTGCGCGAAACGACACCAACGTGGGGCATTAACTGCAGTTAAAAGCAAAAGGTGGGAATAAGCATGAACACAGGTATAAGCAGGGAAACGGGGAGTGCAGTGCTTATAGCTACAAAATGTGCAAAAATAAACTGAAATACACAGCTGGGTACGGTGGGGTACGCCTGAAATCTCAGCACTTGGGAGGCTGAGGCAGGAGGATTACAAATTCAACCCCAGCCTGGGTGACTTAGCCACTTAGTGAGATCGTGTCTCAAAATAAAAAAGGGCTGGGATATAACTCGGTGCAAAGGCACTGGGTTCAATCCCCAGTACCAAAAAGAAAAGAACATATCCGATCATGGGATAAAGAAATATGTAAATATTTTTACTAAATAAATGTAATTCTTATTTTTATTTTTAAAAATTCTCCACAGGACTTCTGCCACTCCTGGAGCTGCTTGTGCGCTCGTTCAGTGAGGGCTTGGTACCTCTTTTGTGAAGCGGCAGCTGAGAAGACTCGGGCGCTCGCTATGGCCGACGAAAAGCCCAAGGAAGGAGTCAAGACTGAGAACAATGATCATATTAATTTGAAGGTGGCGGGGCAGGATGGTTCTGTGGTGCAGTTTAAGATTAAGAGGCATACACCACTTAGTAAACTAATGAAAGCCTATTGTGAACGACAGGGTTTGTCAATGAGGCAGATCAGATTCCGATTTGATGGACAGCCAATCGATGAAACAGACACACCTGCACAGCTGGAAATGGAGGACCAAGATACAATTGATGTGTTCCAGCAGCAGACAGGAGGGTCTACTAAAAAGGGAACCTGCAACAACTCTACTCCAGAACTGTGTTCTTACAGATGCAGAATACATTCTCAATTAGAAAACTGCGATTTGGTTCCACCACATCCTGACTACTACAGTATAGTTTTCTCTATTCTTTCATTTACCCCTTCCCCATTCCTTTATTGCACATAAAGTATCTGGTGTATGTGCACAAGCATATTCCTTTTTTTTTTAACTAAATGGCCAACAATATGTTTTGATTAACATCAGATGGAGACGGGATGGGGAGATACTGGTTCTGTGAAAATAATGCCCTCTCTCCATTAGTGGCATGCTCATCAGCTCTTATCTTTATATTCCAGTAAGTTATTTTGCTCTCACTGTTTTAACAGAAAAGACAACAACATAAAAATCCTTGTGTACCTTGTTTGATTGGAGAATTTTAATGTTTTTCATTTATCGTTGTAAAACCAAGGACAATTTTATAACTCTTTTGTACGTAGCTGTTACATGTAGGGCAATCTGTCTTTATGTAGGAGTAAATTACTCTTTGAAAGAAAAAGAATCCTAGATAGTTTTTCCTTTAAGTCAAGTGTCTTGCTGTTTAAATGAACTTCTTGTTTAAAAAAAAAAAACATTCTCCATAGGAGGATCCAGAACTCTAATTTTAACAGGAACGTGGTTCTCATGGGCCCAGGAGTTGGGGGGACCTGACGCACCCACGGCCTTCAGGACATAGTATGAAGGCGACAGTGACACCCAGGCATCCACTGGGACCATGGCTCTGAATAAAACCCGAGGCTCCGCTGCCAAAGCCTCACACAAGTTTGCCTGAAATAGAATTCTTTGGCACAGCTAAGCACAGAAAGATTTTACGCCACAAGAGGTATTTCCTGTGCTCTCTGGTGTTCTGTTTTCGCCACTGTTAATAATTTCACCAGCTTCTTATACTTTGCAAAATGCCCAGAGAACACGGTGTCTCCAAACATCTACTCTTCGCACTACCTTGGGCTTTCAGAGCAAACACCTCCGCCAGGTACATGGTGCAGGCCTCCTTGTGCCCGCTGCTCAGAGCTGAGGGAGGAGGATCTCTAGAGCCCAGGAGCTCAAGACTCGCCTGGGCTACACAGTGAGATCCTGTCAAAGAAAACCGAAAGAAAACAGAAAGGAAGGAAGGGCAGGGGAGCAGAGGTGGTGGACGGAGAAAGAATACAAGTAGCCAACTGGAAATGCGCCTCCCGTGGCCCAGTGACCTCGGTCCAGGCACACCTGGGTCACAAATCCTGAGATGCTGAGAATGAGCCACAGCCTGAAACGCCAGCCAGTGCGGGGCTCCCCTGTGCGCTTCCATTTCGTCGCCTCACTACATGGTGTCCCGATGAGGCTGCACCAGGGGCTCAGGCTCAAGTCCCTGCATGTCAGGCCCTCGGCAGACACATCCATGACGGAGGGACCTCGGGCCTCGCTGAACACTCAGTGCGTGCAGCACTGTCACTTCAAGCCAGCCTTGGAGTGAGGGAACAGAGTCACAAAATATGGGTAAAACCACAGCAGGGAGGGATGTTGTGTACCGAAACTGTCACCAAGGACAGTTCCTAAATACTCGCCATCACCTCCATCCTGGAGCCTTAAAGGCAGAGAATTGACAAACACGTCCAGAGGAACCCAAGTGGAAAGACCGAAAGGAAACTTCTGGAACAGCTAGCAGAAGACACGGAAGGCAAACAATAAAAAGTTGGTTGTTTCCAGGCAAGAAAGAGCCCACTATGAGACACTGTAGCCACAGGCCAAGCAAAGGCCAAGCAAAGCCAAGCTGTTTTTTCCTTGTTCCCAGTCACCCGGCTGCCAGACTCTTCTGTTTCCAGTCTGGGCCAGGAACCCTGCAGTAGTTTTCTGTCGGGCTGCAGACCAAGCAGGCAGTGTGGGGGCAGCGGCCCGATTTAGTTCACCGGCACCCTCGGCCTCTGTGGACCAAGCCCTCAGGAGACAGGGCAGCAGGAAGAGGTCAGCAGAGTCCAGTGCCCGGTCCCCAGTTACGGGGCCCCTCAGCCTCGGGGAACTCAGGCCAGGCCCCAGCCCACTGTTACCTCACGCAGAATCTGTTCTCGAGACCGTGGGAAAGGGATGCAGGTGGGAGGAGCCTTTGAGTCCATGCGGGCAGATGTCTAATGAGGAATATCTTAGGAGAGGAACCAGGACAGCTGGAATATAAGCACTGCTATAAGTAAACATTATTCATCACTAATTGCTATAGTTTAGCCACGGGGCGGGGGTGGGGGTGAGACAGGGTCTATGTAGTTCAAATTGTCTTTGAACTATGTGGCCCAGGCTGGCCTCAAAAGTCAAAGCAATCCTCCTGCCTCAGCCTCCCAAGTGCTGGGATCACAAGCGTGTGCACCAAGCCCGGCTAGTTTAGCTTTTTTTTTTTTTTTTTTGGTACTGAGGATCAAACTCGGGACCTTGTGCCTGCGGGACAGGCGGTGGAACCACTGAGCTAAATCCTCAGCCCTACTTTAGTCATTTTCAAAATCTTTTTTTTTTTTTAAAGAGTCTCATTACATAGTTCAGGCTGGCCTTGAACTCACAGCAATCTTTCCTACCTCAGCCTCCTGAGTGCTGGGATTATAGACACGTACCACCAAGTCCAGCCTAAAATGTTTGTTCTTACCCCAAAAAAGCCACCGAGACAAATACAACGATCTATTTAAATAAAATAGTGACATCAGCTATAGAGCGGTCACTCTCTTGTCACAGTGCAGCACAAGCACCAGTTGGCACCTGGCTCCCTGATGCAGAAGTGGCAATGCTGTGGGACACAGGGAGAGGAGCTGCTGTGACAGCAGCCCCCAGATGTGACACGCCCGACTGTCCTCTAGGAGCTATGCAGAACCAAACACCAGACTCACTGAGCAATTCCACAACATTTCTTTCCCATTTAAAATAATCAACTCTCGCCACACGTGGCGGTGTGCGCCTGTCATCCCAGCACTCGGGAGGCTGAGGCAGGAGGATTGCAATGTCAGGGTGTGCATGGGCTCTGTGAGTCCCCAAATCCACATGCACGCACACCAGCCCCGAACCTGGCCACCAGAGATGCCTATTTCACAACAGAGTGGCATTGCACCTACAGTCCTGCCACTAGGGAAGACGTCCCTCCTCTACAGATTCAGACTCAAGGCCACAGAGAGGCCCCAAGAGGAAGGGAAGGAGGTCCCAGGCGCCACACACCTTGGGGCAGAGTCTTGATTCCCACGGCATCCACCCCACAATGGGAAAGCCAAGCTGTTGGGATCACCCCGAGCACCTCCCAGAGGGGCAGGTCTGCAACCTCGCTGAGCTGCGTTTCAGGATGGTCTTCGAAATGGAAGAGTCAGAAAGGAAATCCTTCTGTTTTGGGGCCTCGCAGCATATTTCACTCACAAGGGAAGAAATTTTGGACTCCCTCAAATGTGTTTCAGCACTGACCGTAAACAAAATGCTTATAATCTCAGATAAAGTCATTCAATACTAGGGTCCAGGCTGGGAATGGTGGTGCACGCTTGTAATCCCGGCACTCGGGAGGCTGAGGCAGGAGGATCACTACAAGTTCAAGGCCAGTTTGGGCTACACAGAAAGACCCCGTCTCAAAAAAAAAAAAAAAAAAAATACTGGGTTGGGTCCTTTTCACTTACGAAAGTTGTCACTAATTCGATGTGCCAACTTCACGTAAACCAAGATACACAACATCTCCACAAGTTCAATTCCTGGGGAAGAGGGTGCTCCGAGGTTTGCAAGCATCACGTGCTCTTGTTTTATACCAAGATTCACAGCCTCACACAGCATCAAAGGAAGGCTGAAAGGGAAGGACTCGCCGTAAAAGAACACAAAACAATACCCTTTTTATTTTAAAAACTCTGGTGTGATAGCTTTCCATAGGACATCCCATTTTTTTAAAAAAATGAATGCAAACCAACCTGTGGGTTAGTCACACTGTACAACTTCCGAGTGTTTACAGATGCCTAGAGTATTTACAAATGCTATTCGTTAGGTAGTAAAGTTCTTCCAGCTCATATTCCACAGTCCAAGAAAGGGGTACAGCGGTGTTCTTGTATAAAAATCCTTAACAAGTGGACGAAGGCAATTTTCCTGAGAAGATTTGTTCTTGAAATCGTTTTTCTTCAACAATTGGGAATATAGAAATGGGATGTAAAAGTTGTAAGAGAAGCACAAGAATGTCTACGTTAACATTGTTTCTTTTAAATTATTTTAAGTACCATTAAGTTAAAATGTTTACATTCATTATAAAAATGCTGTTAAATCTTATGCAAGTGATTTAACACTGATTGCTGCAACGCAAATTGCACTTTTAAAAAAAAATTATTGTATACATGGAAGAAAAATATTTTGTTTGCTACCCTGTTTACAAATGGCGACCGACCTCACGTTGGCCAGCGCGCGAGCTGAACGTGGAGCGTCAGTCACGGTGTAGTCAGAGTTAGACGCACCCTCCTCGCAAGCTGAGCTTCGCTCTGGATGAGACCTGGGGACCGACCCGGCCCGCACCGCGCACCAAGCGCCCTCCGCGATCTCTCCGTGCGCTCGGCGTGGGAGCAGGTAGGAGAAATCCAGGAGGAACCACGTGGATCAGAAGAAGCACACGATTCGGGACAGTGTGTGAACCCTTTTCTGAAGACTCCCGGGGGGGCGGCCGGCGGCCATGTCCCCGGTCATCTGGAGGCGGCCCTGGCATGCAGCCCGGGCACAGCCGTCTTCTCATCTCTTCTAAAGCAAAGGCACCAAATCCCGTGTGCGTCGGAGAAATGTTCCCTTACCACCATGGGGACACGGGGTGCAGACCCCCAACGTCCTCCCGCTCCCAGCCGCGCAGCTCAGGCCAGGGCCAGCGCGCACCAGGAATCCTGTCGGACGGAGGACGTGACCTCGGCCGCGGGCGAGGCCAGACTGACGCCGATGTACAGCCCGTCCTGACCCGGATACTTGAGCTCGCTGCTCTCGGTGGGGTTGGTGCCCTCGGCCACGCCGGACATCGCAGGGGGGCCGGCCTGGAGGACATGGGACAGAGGAGAGATGGTTACGCATCACTTCGTCAGCTGGCCCAGTATCCCGCCCGTCCTGGTCCCAGCCACCAGTGCTTTGCACGGGCTGCAGCGGCCACAGAGCCACCAACCTGACGCTGGCACACAAAAACGTTCCCGCTAACAGTCGGTTTTCGAGACAGGCTCTCACTGTGTAGCCCAGGCCGGCCCAAGTGCTCGGCGATCCTCCTGCCTCCCAAGTGCTGGGGTCACAGGCGTGCGCCTCCAAGCCCGGCCCTCTGCTCACTTTGGAGCTCAGCGGCCGGCCGGGGTGTGGCTCAATGACAGCACTCGCCTCGAGTTAAAACACACAGCAAGCTCAGGGACCACGCTGGGGCAGAGAGAAGGCAGCGGAGTCCTGCCTGCGACACAGCTGACGCCAGGGACTCTGGGGGCAAAACACAGGGTGCCACACAGGTGAGCAGCACCCAGGCCTGGACGATGCACACACGACCATGCACTTCGTAAGAGAAAACCTGGGGCTCTGCAGGCACACACATGCACACACGTACACACGCACACACACACGTACACGCAAGCCGTGGTTATGTCACACTGGAAAAAGAGGTGACATGGCCACGCACTCCCGGACACATGAGAAGTCCGCGCCAAGCTTGCGGAAGTAAGCGCCTGTGTGTCACCTCTGACGTCTGCCTCCCTCACGCCAGCAGCGGGCCACGGCAGGAGGAAACGCTAAGTGTCCTCTCCATCACGAGCCTGGCCGTGATTCCTCCAGGCAAAAGTTCACCTTTCCCCCTTTCCTTAATCTTTCCATCCAAACGAGAGAGAAGCCAAAGAGAAAACATCACGTCACTGAGTAGACGCAAACCAAAATAACCACCATCTGTTTAGACTACGAGTGGAGAAAACAGCGGCGCCTGAAGGACTTTCTCAAACCCAAGCCCAAACCGTGCTCTCCCTGATCGCCTTCTTCCTTCTAAAACCCAGAAGCCCCTCGTTTCTTCTACACTTCCAGGGTTCTGTGAACATTTTCCTACTGTGTAAATGATTTTTCTGCGCGCGTGACCCCATCAAGCCCTTCTCTGGCCACACCAGTGTTGCGGCCTCCCACAGGGGCCAGGTACGACCGCCAGGTACGACCGCGCGCCTTGCTCTCGGCCACCTGAACTTTCTCCCAACCAGACGGCCCAACTGGACACTGCCAATCCTCTCCCCCAGCACAACTGGGGGGTTCTGAAAATCCAGCAACCACAGCACCCCCGCCCCAAGTTTTGTTTAAATAGCACAAGCACAGAAGCCCAAACTGAGGGGGCATCAAAACTGAAAACTTCACAAAGTGATTGAGCTGTCTAAAATATAAAATAAGCCGAGCATAGTGGCATACACCTCCAGTTCCAGCACTCAGGAGGCTGAGGCAGGAAGGTTGCTCCCAGCCTGGGCTACACAGTGAGTTCAAGGCCAGCCTGAAGGAACCGAGACCCTGTCTTCAAAAACAATAGCAATTAATTGTAGCTCTTAATTCCAAAAAGCCAGTGTGGCCTCAGATTTAACCCAGAAAGACAATATTCAATGACAAAGCAATCGTTTGTTGTAGAAAGGAACTGTCTTGCTACTAGAAAAAGAGCCCCTGTAAGCATGCGGATCGCACCCAACTGGCATCAGTGCGCTCTCCTCCAGTGGGGTCCCCAGCCTGACCGGCGAGCTGAGCATGGTTTTCTGCCCTGCAGAGGGGGCCCAGGGGGCCCGGGAGCAGCCGCCTCAGGAGACCAGGGACAGTGGGTGTGGCAGTGCCCCTGTGGTCACCAACAGGGAGCCTGTCAGCAGCTGCACCCTAGACAGCAAGACAGGACAGCGTGACAGTGACTGACGGGGAGGAAGAGCAAGGTCGGGAAAGGGATGGGGCAAGAGGCTTCCTGCGAGGGCCGACAGCAGGCACCTCGGGGATCATGGCCGCCTGCCGGGTGCGGTCGCCACCCTCTGCCCCCCTCTGACTCGAGTCCTGGGACCCTTGAATTATCTGCCTCAGGGATGGCTACAACAATTAAACGGGATCACTGCCGGGTGTGGGGACACAGACCTGGCCCACACCTAGACTCCTAGCACTCAGGAGGCTGAGGCAGGAGGATGGCACAAGTTTGAGACCAGCCTACAAAGTGTTCAAGGCCAGCCTATGAGACCCTGTCTCAGGGATTTAGCTCAGTGGTGCTGCCACCTGCCTCACAAGCAAAAGGTCCTGAGTTCAATCCCTGGTAACAACAAAAAAAAAAAGAACAAATTAAAAAGGCACCTATAGCCCTTGCAAGAATTAAATCAGTTAACAGAGCAATACATAAAGCCCTTATACTGGTATCAGCTTCTTCTATGGTTAAGGCAAAGGACCTAGGCCCTGTGTCCTCTCTGGCTCCCTGCCTCTGCCTGGAACAGAAGCTAAAGGGACCCATCCAGAGAGGAAGCCACCAAGAGTCGCCCCATCCCGACTGCTACTGCCAGTTTTTCACAAAGAGACACCAAAGGCTACGGAAGGCAGCCACTCAGACGGCCCCTGGCTGTTTTGGAAGGAAGCCACATTAAAGATCTTAACACCTCAATGTTATTCTTACACCTGAGCAATAATCCCAAGAGCTATCTGTTGAAATACCTTTTATCTACTTTCCCCAGACAATGTTAGGCATTATGCAGGCCCAGAAGCCCACACAGGGCAGATAAACCCCAAATTCCATGACAGCAGAGCCAGGAATGGTAGCACACAACTGTAATCCTAGCACTTGAGAGGCTGAGGCAGAAGGGTCTCCCTGAGTTTGAGGCCAGCCTGAACTTCATAGCAAACCTTGTCACAAAAACAAAAACAAAAAAAGCAACACCTGAGTCTTTCAAAAAAAAAAGGGAAGGGGGGATGAGGAACTTGTGCCCAAGCCTTGACAATTTTAAAGAAAGGATGTAACAATCACACGTGAAGTGCCGCAAAGGGAAATGTTTTTGCTAGTACGAAAGGCCAATTTAGATGATCTCCAGTCCCCTCATCCCTGGCCAGCAGGGCTGGAGTCCATCTGAAGGTAGCAGTAGTGTCCAGCGACATCAAGAAGTCTGCTCCCTGCTTAACCCTGTAGCCTCACTTCTGGAAATGTTCAAAGGGAAGCCATCTGCCATAGGGTACTTACCATGGTGGAAACCATGGAAACAATCTAAAGCCTATGCTGTGGGAAGGGTCTGCAAAAGCAGAGTACATCCGCTCAATAAGCTACTAGGCAATTAAAAAAAAAAAAAAGATCGGGAGCAAGATGGGAAAAACCGTGTCATACAACGTTGCGTGAAAACCAGCGGGATGAGAACTCTCCATCCTAGCACAAGTACCTTACAGGGTCCAGGAGGGTGGCGGCCAGGGCCGGTTCTGGGCACCCAGACCTCTCCGGAGCCTAAACTGCAAGGCAGAGAACAGGACGCATCAGGACCAGGAACCCCAGGCACCGCACCCAAGGGTGCAGCCAGTCTGGACAGAGTCAGAAGGCATCCTGCAAAACCAGGGAGGCACCAGAAAGCATCTCTCTGCCTCCTGGCACAGGCTGGGGCTGGGCAGCCGTGCACACGTGGAACACACAGCTGCACATAAATTCAACACCAACACGCGGTATCCCTGCATCTGAGTCACTTGAACTGTGACAGAGCGGCGATTTGCTGCAGAAAGACTGCAGCAACGGCCGGGCATGGTGGTGGACGCCTGTAATTCCAAAACTCAGGAGGCTGAGGCAGGAGGATTGCCACCAGCTCCCCTGAGACCCCTGGCTTATTTTATGTCCTTTCCCTCCTAGGGGTTCGTGAGGTACCAACTAAGAATCAATACCATTTTGGGGGAAACAGAAAATGTATGAAGACCAAGGAGTCAGCACCACACACACACACACACACACACACACCAGTTGGTTCATGTTTTCCTGCACTGAATTAAGTCCTGAACTTGTTAGTTCAGATCGGGTACCTAACCCAACCTCAACCAAACTCCTTCGCAGAGCCCGAGGTGCATGGGCTCCTTCCCCTCGTGGCCCTCCTGGTAGGAGGCAGCCGAGGTCCCTGCTTTCTGGGGATCAAAGTGCAAGCAGAGGGTGGAGCTGAAATCTGCTGTTTCCATCCCTGCTTATCTCCCCGAAGCCGGGCAGGACAGCTGAGAACTGGCCGCTTCCTGTTGAAAGAATGTTATCAGCCAGGCCAAGGCGCAAAGCCCAGCCTGGCCTGGTAGGCGGGAGACACGGTGGGCTGGAAAAACTCCCTCGGAAAGGAAGGAATGATTCAGGGGCAGCGTGGCTGCTGATGCGGCCTGCATGGAGAAAGAGTCCCTGGCCTGGGAAGCACGCACACCCAGACTCCTTTCCTGTGGAATTTATCTGAAAAATCCAAGACTCCTGATGCCATATGTTCATGAATTTAAGTGCCCAGTGGACTGTCCAGCTGTTTGTGGGCTTCCCAAAAGTTTCACTCCTGTTCTTTTTGTTTTTTGAGAAACTGTCTCGCTATGTAGTTCAGGCTGGCTTTGAACTCTCTGTGGAGCCCAAGCAATCCTCCTGCCTCAGCCTCCCCCCGCCGTGCTTGGGTCACAGGTATGCGCCACCATGCTCGGTTATAAATTTCATTTTTGAAAAAAGAAACTAAAAAGGGGGTCTGCTGGGAGGGCCCGCTTACCACGCACAAGGCCCTTTGTTTGATTCCCAGCACCGTGCTTTGATCTCCTAAGAACACGTGGTCATGTGGAGGAGCGAGACTGGGGCCTGTGGGCCTCACCCTGGGCCCTCCCCGCAGGCCTGAGCTCAGCATGGATGCAGCACTCCTTCCCGTGAGAGCCATCAGTCCTCTCCCACTGCCAAGGACTCCTGCAGCGCCTGCCCTGCCGGCTGCCTTCCTCAGAGGGACAAAGGCCAGCTAGGCAGGAGCACCAGCCAAGGGCAGGTTGGTGGGAATCCACGGTCCTCAGTTTGGCAGATGGGAAACGGGAACAGATGCCAGAGCAGCACAGCAAT